CTTTGCTTCGGATTTAGCTTTAGCTTTTGCCTTTGGTTCCGGAGCTGGGGTAGCCGCTGCCTCATGCTTAAAAGGACAATTCTCTCTTGAGCACGAGCCTGTGTTCTTGAACGAGTAGCATATCCTGTTTCCTCCTCCTCCAGATGGGCTTGGAGTTCTCGTCCTCGGCGTGAAGGGTCGCTCTGGAGTCTTCTTCGAGTGACTGAATGGACACTTATAGCCATTTCGACACCCTGCATCTGTGAAATGGAACTTGCAGCGGATTTGCTTCTTGCTTTTGTCACCTCTGTTGTCCGCTGACTCACTCCTCGTCTTCTTCTTGGGCTTTGGCTTGGTCTTTGCATGACTCTTCGCTTTGCTTTGAGGTAGTACAGGTGTTGCTTTATCCGGTTTGGTAGGCGAAGCCTTGACCTTTGCGGATGGAGCTGCGTTAGGCGTAGGTTTCTCGGGTACCTTGGCCGGTGCAGCAAGCAAATCCTTGCCCTCAAGCATCTGGCGCAAGCCAATTTGGGTCTGAGTGAGATTTGACTGTTCTCGTCTCCGCATGATGGTACGATCAATGATCTTCATCAGGTTGTCATACGATCGGTCTTCATGATTGTAGGGCAAGTGTTCGTAATGCATGCCCAACTCCATCTTCATTGCGGGCGAGTCCTTGATCTTGCTGTACAAGCAATCACGGAGAGCCGTTTTGGATGGAATGTCCTCTGGTCTCATCCGTCCCAGAACTTCCAACCACGTCTGCTTGAACGTATGAAGCTTGTTGTCGCCTTGGTACTGGAGCTTCACCAAATACTCAAGAGTGATGATCATGTCAAGACGATCATGCGTTCGAAAACTTTCATACATCATCGCGATGACTTGTCGTCCCTTGATGATCTTCACGTCAGGCCTGCTGATGTAATCATTGGCCTTCCGGTTCACCTCGAGGTACAGGTCAGCTGATTTGTCACCACCGGCGCGTAGCATTGCGACCATGGCGATCCCCAATTTGACGTCTATGCTCTTGAACTTCTTGTGTCCTGAATCATTCAATGCTTCGACATCAGGGAATGGGTTGAACGCTGGTGCCAGCCATAACATCCAGTCCTCATGATGTGGATCGGCTGATGCCCCTAAGACATTGGCCGCGCACACGGATCGCCAGTTGTTGAGATGAGTGAGAGTAGGCCATGGAGGAACGGTCACCTTGTCGGCTTCCCTCCTGGAAATTCTCACCTCTGTGACTTCAGGATCCGCGTCTCCATCAGGATCACGCGCATGCGAGCCAGGATCCGATTCAGGTTTGCCCCCTCCGCCTTTCTTCTTGTCATCATCATCATCAGGCGGATCTGGAGGATCATACCCCGTGCCGGTACCTTCATCATGCTCTTCCTCTCCGTTCTCGTCGCCAGCTTCATCACCGTCATCGTCTCCATTGTTTTCCTGAATCGTTTCAGCGAATAATCTCCACTCATCACGATCAGCTCTGAGACGTTGTTCGGCTTTCTGAGCCTTGAGTACTTCACTCCGCAGATCAGCAATCTTCTCTTCGTACTGCTCCGCGATCTCTTTCTCGATCTGACGCCTCCTTGCCTCATGGATAGAATCGTCATAGGCGACAGGGGGACCGACGAGGTCGTTGCCCTTCGTAGATGCGGTAACACCGTCGATGCCAACAGGTCTTGAGGAGCTGGCCGATGCTGTGGACTTCGATCCCAACATCCCGCGATCCCTCAAGAGTTCGCGTAGCTGTCGATCACGCACGGCTGCCGCATCACTTTTCCCATGAAATCCGCTTGGTATGCCGAATAAAGTGGCTGCACTAGGCGTGGAACGCGCAAGTGCTGGGCTGCTAATACCTGGCACGTGGTGCTCGGGCATTGCATCCGCCACGATTGGCATTGAATTGCGGCCAGTGAAGAAGTTTCCACCGGTGAATGGAATTCCATCCATCACAAGGTTCTTGTCCTTGTCCGATTCCGAGAATGCGAACTTCTCTTTGGCGACTGGACTAACTTGACTTGGGGACCGTATTTCAGGGGATCGTACCTCATCTCCTACGGAAAATGCAGGCATTACTTCCTTTCCTACGTGCTCCCAGCCAGACTCAGTAGTCCTCGCAGACATGGGCATGCTCGAAGGTCGCGTCGCTCCTCCTTGATTGGAGTTTCGCGCTGCCTCCAATTCGCTGCGTGTCCTCGCTTGAAGATCTTCTTGTGCTTTGAGCGTTTTCCTGAGTTCACTCAGCTCGTCGTGCAAGGTAGGCAATGATCGCCTTGCATGATCTTCATTCTGATGAAGTCGGTCCTCTGCTTCTTGCCTCCTCTTCACAGCCATTTTGCGGTACTCTTCCTCTTCACCAAGACGTTCGCGAAGCCGAAATCGTTCTTGTTCAATGGCTGCGCTGTTTCCAGCTAGCCCTTGGATCTCGTTCACAGCCCGCAACTCCTGGTTCTTGACCAAGTGGAATCGTTCCTGCATTGCTTGTAAGGCTTGTTCCGAACTTGCTGTGTTTGACCGGAGGACCAAGTTATCTCTGGCGTGTTCATGAAGTTCATGAGTCAGACGCTCATACTCACGTGCCATAAGCTCACCATCACCTTGCGCTCTTGCCTCCAACTGTACAAAGTTGGTGGCTGCCTCCGTGCGGAACACGTGTAGCTGTTGAGCTAAATCCTCGGCAACGGCATGTGCTTGACGTTGTTGAGCAGAGTTCTGCTCATCCATGCGAAACAAAGCTGTTTCATAGTCGCGCTTCATCTCCTGATTGACATTGTTGATGTGCCTCATGGCTAAGCATGCATGATCACGTTGTCGTTCCAATTCTTCAATGCGAATTCCAGATCCTTCATCTTCTTGATGCATCTCCTTGATCTTGTCCATCAGGGTCTGGACGATTCCTTCGTATTCTTGCACCTGACTGCGATAGTACATCTGCTGTGCAAGGTTCGATGCTTCGAATTGTTGCGAAATCGTCAGTTCCTGGTAGGCATTCGGACCATCAGCTATGGCTGGTGTAGTCACCGATGAAGCATCACCACGTGCAGGAATAGTGTCCAGAGTCATATCCAGATCGTCAGCATCGCGTGGTTGATTGGTAACCATCCGATTCCAAGTCATGGACTTGTCACGCCCACGAGTAGCCGAAGTCCTCGATCGTGCTGAAGAGCTTCTCGAAGATGATGGTCTCGACTTCTTTTCCAAGGTCTTGACTCCTTTGTCCTTGGCCCTGGACGTAGTCCGAGGTGCCTGAAAACCAGACGCTTCGGCCCGTCGTTCTGAAGCCTTGCCCGTCCTCGAACCTGTGGATGTCGGACGCGAAGGCGTAGATGCTCTTGGTAGCCTCTTTGCTTTCCCCTTGGGAACTGCCTTTGCAATGGCAAGCGCAGAAGATTGACCTTTGTCATCTTCCGTGGAGCTATCAACGGATTGCACCACTGTGTCATCAGCTGTTGACTCACCAACGGCTGGCGCTGCCACATCGGCACCGAAAGTCATTGTTGTATCTTGGCTTGATCCTGAGTTCATTGTGGTCGTAGTAGATCAAGTAGTCGTTGCTGTAGAAAGGCAGAGCCGCGTACGGCTGATAACCTGCGTGGGGGATTGATCTCGACTTGGTTGCTGCTCTCCCCACCAGAGCTGTAATGAATGTAGGTGCGGCTGGCTTGCACTCTCCACAGACTGGACCCTGTCTCTCCCTCTTACTTCCACACGTGCAATCCTATGCAGGCAGAACCGGCGGCCGTTCCTTTTGCACTCACTGCCGGCGGCGGTTCGTCTGTGCAACGGGATAGCTCTGATTGCTCAGGATAGAAGACACATATAGCCCTTAGCTATGGGCATTGACTTGAGCCAAACGTTGCGTTGGCGGTCACATAGAAAGGTAAAGATGAGGGATGCGTAGCATGCCCCCTAGAGTCGAGGGACGCGTAGCGTGACCCCTTCTCTTGCACTTTACACGGTCTTGCTCACAGCTCTTATAGTGACACCTTAGAACTTGACAAGGCATCGCAGTCCGTTCGCAGTTAGCATATGTAATATAAGTGCTCCTCCTCTGCTCGCTGAATTCCCTTTTGTCGGGGCTCCACAGCTCGAGGTTCCGTTTCAGACGTGGGCCCTTGCTGCCCGGAGGTTAGTGAGCCCATGCTCAGTTCGAAAGATATTGAGGAAAATATGAATACTAAGAAATATCATGATGACAGCAATGCAATTCATTGATGCTAATAGGGATAAGAACTATAGACTTGTTCACCAATATCTATATGTTTATTGTTTAGGGACTTCACGTCTAGTTGCCGACAGCGACCCTACATGTATCGAAACCCTACTTGGAGGTTCATGGGACTTAGTAAGGGTTCTTAAAGGGCTCCTTAGAGGGATCTGTAGGGTTCCTTAAAGGGATCTATAGGGTTTAGGGTTTAGGTACTACTTGGAGGTTCATGGGACCTAGTAAGTAAGGTTACAAGTCCCCTAAGATGGGTTATAAGTATAGTTACCCTAACTATAACCCTAGTTATTAAGTCCCATGATCCTTTAAGTAGTCCCTATAATGGAACCCCTATAGATCCTTTTAAAGGAGCCCTTTTTAGTATAACTCCTAGTTATTAAGTCCCATGATCCTTTAAGTATAACCTGGAGACACCGCGGGTACCCTCGAACCCAAGCCCCGAACCCAAGCAGAACATTGGGTGCCGACTTGAGAACAACGCAAGCCTTGGGATTAGCTAACCAGTGGTTTTGGGGTTCCCATGGCTCTTTAGCTCCTTATTTAATAGGGAATATCATCATCCCTGGCTCCTCAGCTGCTCCAATACCAATCGTTAGTTACGGTGTGTGTGTGTGTGTGTAGACTCGTCCTCAGCCTGTAGAGTGGCGGTGGGTAAAGTGACTCGGGGCAAGTCACAGGAACCCTCAACCCTCTAGAAATGCAACGCAGTGGCCCCGCGACGGAGAGAAGCAAACCAAGCCCTGACAAGCTTGGAAGCAATCTCTCTGTCGCCAACTGCGGCTTTGTTTTTTCACCTAGACGCTTCATCACGCCAGAATTGCTGGACCTTCTCGTCGATGTCTGCAGCCAGCCTGAGAACACAAACGAAGGTACTTGACCTGGGTGGGCAGGACAAGATGGCCCTGGCAGTCTCCGCAGCAGAAGCAGGCTCTTGCTGCGGCTTTAGGTCCGACAGGAGGTCGTGCCAATGCCGCAATGCCGGGCACTCGCTGAGAAGGTGCGGTAGGCCTGATCGAACACCCCGGTTGCAGAGAATGCATTGTTGCAGACGCGCCCGGCTGGGCCTTCCATCACGATGAGTTATGCGGCAAAACCCTGCGCGCAATCGGCACAGAGACCTGATGGATTGCCGGTCTTCCCAACCCAGAGGGGCAGAAGCCACAAGTTGAAGCAATGTGCTATGACAGGGCTGGAAGCTCAGGTACGGGGGCACTTTGGTGGATCTTTCGGCCTCGGCCTTCCAGGCCGGCAAACTAAGCTCTCTGCAGCGGTTTCTCACATACAGCTGATACTTCTCCAACGTCCCTCCTTGGTAGGTCCAGTTGGGGAAATCCAAGATGCTATATGCTTCGAGCAAAGCCTGGCTTTTTTGGGCCCAAGAGGTCGGCCAAGCATGCGAGCAGCGGAAGACACTAGCGTAGAGGTCTTCCGCCGGCATGGACCACAGCTTAGCTCTGCGCAAGGCCACATGCGAGACCACGATGAAGAACCCTGAAGTGTCCCAACCCAACTCTGAAACGGCAGTGGCTGCATTTTGCCATTCGCTGGCTCCAAGAAGCTGCTTTGCCCAGGACTTTAGGGTAGAGTCCATAATGTGCTGTGCATCTGGCGCAATACCCAACAGCCACGAGCCAACACATAACGATGGGAAAACCTTACTCCAAAAAATTGACGAGACCAGGTGAAGCGGCAGCGCGTCACGCTGCGCTAACCCTGCCAGCAGTGCGAAGGCCTTCTGTGCTATGGCGAGTCTGGTGCGCAAAGCTACGGAGAGATCCAGACTGGCAGACCAGTACAAGCCTAGCCATTTATGGCCAGTCTTGAAAGCCAAGGCACGATCTTCCTGCCCCGCGATCCCTTTCAGGATAGGGGCCGCTGGCAGAGGGTGACTTGAGTCGCCGGTGGAACTGGGCGTGACCATGGCCACCGTTTTCTTTTCAGTGACGTGAAAAGATGCTTTGTGCTTAAACGCCCAGTTTGCAAGAATGTCCAAGCTTTTCTGCAACGACCATCTGCAACAACCAAGTAGCACGGGGTCGTCAGCGTGGAGAATTGCTGCAATGCGTAGCGGAGCCATATCGCTGAGTGCTTGTAATGCGGAAGCTTCCAGGTTCGGGCTTTCATCAAGGAGCCTGGGGGACGGGAGGACGGAATTAGGGCAGGGCGAACGCAAGGCGGCCTTAAGTAGAGAAACTAAGGCAGGCTCAGGCTGACCTAAACCCGACCAAAGCCGCCCCTTCCAAATGTCAGGAATGACCCAACCAACACCTAAGCCGCAGTTGTGCGCAAGCAGTTCGCGGACTAAGGTGTCCAGTAAAACGGGGTAACCAAATGGCCCGAGCGTACCACCTTCAGGAATCCCTTGATTCACAGTGACTTCGCTGTAGCCACTATGCCAGATGACCACGGAATCGCGCTCCAAGATGTTGGCAAGGAGCTTTAAGCACTGTCCGTTGATATGGGGGCCGTCTGCTAAGGTGCATACAAGATCCTCCCTGCAAACGCTGGGAAATGCTTTGCGAAAATCGCCCATCACCATCCACAGCGCACGTTGTTGGGCAATCGCTTCGGCTGAGATTTCATGTAGCAGAAGATGCGCATCCTCTACGCCCCGAACAAAGCCGCTTTGACATGGTTGAACATGCGAGCGTGTTCTGCTAAGCCAGCGCTGGGTTAGAAGAGCTTCTTGAAGAAGGCCCATTTGGACTTTCACGAAGATTAAGCGGAAGCTTGCAGCGAGGTTGGCAGGGCCATTTTTGTGCACAGGGCACAAGGCGGCTTTGCGCCATAGGCTTGGACGGTAGGCGGCGCCACCTGGTCCAGCCCAACGTTGCAAGCTCCACACTGTTAAATTCCAACCAGCCGAGTTTGCCTGAAAAATCGCACGGGGCAGGAGGTCAGGTGGCATGCCTTTGGAAGTGGACCAGTTGTTTTTGACATCAACCACTTCCCGCTCTGTGACTGCATGGTCTAAGTGGTCCTGAGGCAGTGCAGCGCCTGCCGCACTGCAGACTTGGCGGAACCTTGCTAGAGTGGCTGCGTGGAAAGCCCGGTCATACGGTGACTCCCAGGCGCATTGTGCCGAAAGTGCTGAGGCCCATTCGCGATTGGACTCCACTTCAGTAAGAATGGAGCAACCCTTCATCAGACAGGGCAAAGGACAGGGGGCAGGGTCACGCAAAAGCTTAAGGCAAGAATTAAGGAGAGCACCCTTGTTGGTATTGCGAGAGACTTGCTCGACCAAGCGTCTGGACTCATCTGTGAGGTCGTGCAGAACAGCTTCGGCCAAGTTCAAGCAAGACACAGCTTGGTGCGGACTGGGAGCACCAGACCCAAGCCAGATGTCTCTCACAAGTCCAGCTGTAGCGGTGGCCAATGCGGTCGCGGCCTCGATGCCCCAGATATGGTGTTGCTGCCGCGCCAGCGATGGGACAGCGTCGCATAATTCATCACCTGCTAGTAAAGCAACCTCCCCTAAGCACTGCAGAACAGTCTCTGCCGGGCGCAGAGCAACTGCCCACTTGTCGGGACTGTGCCATCTCCCAGGAAACGCTGGCGCAGCAGGTCCAGATGACCAGTTCGGGTGGGAGTGGACATCTAGCTGAATCAGGAAATGATCACCATGACAAGTCTCTTGGCAATGCTGGAGTGGGCAAGAATCAGCACAATGCACACTGTTATGAATGGTTACATCAACACAAAGTTCCGAAGACGAAAACACTAGGTCAATGGCTCTACCTGTTCCAGGGCCATGACGCGTAGAGCCTTCCTGGACTCGGACCCACCTGTTCCTGAAGGGCAGTTCAACTGAATGCGCTTGCCGGTTGCTCATGGAAGGGTTGTGTAAAACAAGCATGTGTTTCCTGCAGAACTTGGACCAAGCAGTTTGTCGCTTCCTACATGGCTCCCTGTCCCCCCCAAGCTCATCAGGCTGTAGGTTCATATCGCCTGTTCCCAGCACGCCGTGTCCCTCTGGGAGCGCCACTGCGGGACACAGCATGTCGATGTCATGTGACAGACCTTCAAGCTCAGCAAGCCACTCAGCATCTCTGGAGTGGTGAGAGGTTGGCATTGTGAGGATGACCCAATGCAGAGTCTTCCCATCTTCGAGTTGAATGTCCAGCCATAGACGCCTTCCGTTGCCTAAGTCGTCTCTGACCGCTGAAAT